AGATGTGTATAAGAGGCCTATATAATAATAATAATAAAATTAATAATATTTAGGTTTGCTGTGTAGCACCGTAAACACAAAATAAACATTAATAATACATAAATAATAACAGTGCTCGAATAGGAACATAACGTTATAATCGTATTTTCAATTGTGTGAAAGAAAGTGTCTCTGGCGAGATTCGAACCTGCAACCTTTTACTATGAAGGCGAGTATCATACCATTATACCACGGAAACCTAAAGGGGATACGCATAGGTTTCCCACAGGCACTACTCACGTACAACTGAATGAAACGCTCACACATCATTATTATTATGATTTTAAATTATTATGATGACTATTACCGTTTGGATTTTCAGTACTACGATAGTATTTGGTGCTAATAATAATAGGCCTATCAATAATATTGAATGGATGAGTAATGTTCCGCATCTAATGTACATCCTTTTTCAATCTAAAATGGTTTGTTAGTAACTAAATACCTTGATCGTTTGCTGTCAAATTCCATAAATCATCGATTAGTGACTCGTCTATTACGTATAATTAGATGTTCAATGAGTCGCTATGTGCTTAACCTTTTAATCTTATTAGGTCAAGTTGTTTGAGCCGCTTAAATATCATGTACTAATAATAGCTGTTATATTCTTCACAATTTGACATTTGAATCGAGTAATTAATACTCATACAGGAGCCATTAGTATTGAAATATACTTGAAAATTTGTTAGTTTCAGAAATGATCAAATTTACAAATACATAGGCCTGTCATTACAAGAATTTCTTGGATAAATACACAAAATGTGACATTGATGTACTTGCATTCTGGTAAAAAATGTGTTAGTTTATTATTTGTTTATAATTCAAAACCCCAAAACGCAAATTCATTATTAATTGTTCGTAAGTTGGGCCGATCGAGACAACACTGTCCTAGGGGGTCCGGGGACATGAACCCGCGAAATTCTTGTGTTCTAGACGACCGAAAATAACATTTGAGGCGTTATGGGCTATAATTTCTTTTTTTCCCCTTTTTTTTACTTCCGGGGGGGGGGGGGGGGGGCGCCAGAGCCGGGCCGCCCCTCCCCCCCCCTAAATTCTCCCCTGTAAAAACACAAAAGTCAGAGTTGTAATAAAACTGTGAGTGACAAATATTACTGTATAAGCATTAGTACAGATAAGAATCACGGAATAGGAAGAAAGAAGTTGTACTGTATTTGTATTTATTTTATAATGGTTCAGAGATCAATATAATGCAAAACACTGGCACAAGTGTTCAAATGTGATCATGTTTGCACAGCCTCACTGGAGACGCGTGGGGTGTGCTGGTGAATATCTTGTGCAAAATGAAATTAACTCAAACAGCATTTAAAATAGTGGTAACAACCTTAGTGCATTCTTATAAGTTTAAAAAACAAAAACTATTCCATAGGTATTATTGATTAAATAGATTTAGGTGGAATAATTTTTTTTTTTTAACACTACGTATCGGTAAATTCGATAATGCATTTGTACAAATCGTGCAGCCATGAATGTTTTTAAAGGTGAAATGTCATTATTAATTAACATTTCTACTACAAAGGCCTAATAGGCCTAAAATATATGACGTTATCATCATATTATTGGGTAAAATGACGTGCACTTTAGGCCCATGATCTAACGTCAGAGCCAGGCAAATTTATCAACATCCATAACAAATGTTCATACTGTCATAGCAAAGCCTTGTTAGAACAACCTGACAACATGCGCACATCGACGCACGCTCATCAATGACGTCACGAGCAAATAAATGTGACCTGTAACGTCAACGTTCAATTCAAGAGAATGGATAGTGAACATAACAAACTATACAAAGGTATACATAACAAGGAGGCCTATCTAAGAAAGAATATAGCCTATAAACAAATTGGTAAATGATAGAAACAGTGCTCTGAAACATTTCTGATTACATATAGGCCTATTATATATACATAAAGATGCATAGATATATACACATATTATAAACGGTTCAATTAATATACATTAATTGTAATATTCCGCTTGCTGTTTCTAGGTTCTCCCAATAAAACAATTACAAGATTCGTAAGTACTGTATCTAGTTTCGATTTTTTTTTCAGAATAGTATTCTAAAGTTGTGGTATGTAAACAATGGATTGGTGTGGATACCCTTGCAGTAGGAATGGGTTGCTAAAAGTCATAGAAATTGTAAGTTTATTATTCTTTCTAAAATATAATTATTTATATTATTATTCTTATCAGGAATATTGCCATATAAGTATTTTTAGTTTTTATTCGTATTAGGCCTGTTAATTGGATTCTATAATTATAATATAATATTTGCAATCATGAAAGCCTATAATATTTAGTTTCAGCAGTGGCGGATCCAGGAATTTGAAATTGAGGGTTCCCAGGGAGGGACTTGGACAGATGGAGGGTCTATCCACCTCAGCCCCAACATGGTTGGGGCTGAGGTAAGACATTTACGATTATGTCACCTCAAGATGGTCGGAAATGGAACTCGCAGACTTAACAATTTGAATGTAATTTTCTTTTTCTCCAATTGCGGGGAGGGCTGGCCAGCTGCCCTCCCTGCAATGTTTTTATATCAATTTATTTTTATGATTGAAGGTGTTTATGCTGGTAGCCTTTGGATGTGTGATGAATGTAGTTGTGGATATTTTAGAAAATTCCACCTTGTGTAACATCAAGAAAGACTCTGGTATCAAATGCGTACCTGAAGAATACTCCGTGTTCGTTTCACTAATTTTCATCGTAGCGATCAATATTCTATTACTTTGGATCTTCCGTACGTTGTCAGACTCACACTGGCTCATTAGATTTGTAAGTTCTTTGCATGCGGATTGTCTCATTTTGAAGAAAGTGGCATTTTCATTTAAAAAAATGTAACAATTATTTTCAAGCACGAATTCATTTCTTTGTCTTTTTAAAATGTAATCATGCTGTCTAAGCTTTCCGTTATGTGATGAGCTGCAATACAGCACGCAGCTTAGCCTGTGACGCGCCGCCCTACTATGATGTCACTAGGACACAACGCAACGACACAATAAGTGACGCAACGCGGGGGTTCTGCAGCAGTGCTTCAGCGACGCGTGCTTTCAAGTGGCAACCACTGATCTCAGAGAACAGTGGTGGGAACCGATGACGCAAACTTGTCAGCGCAACGCAACACCAACGCTAGTCAACTCTTGCGTTGTTTGCGGTTCGTCTTTGCATTGTTTGCGTTAAAGTTTACTATACGCGCGTCTGAGTGAGCTCGTTTTTTTGTTTTTTTTTTGGTTTTTTTACGGAACATGATTTTATAATATACGGTGTGATGATTAGGCCTACTTCAATATTATGTTTCGTTTCGCGTTTGAAGGAATTGGTGTGCTGCTTCCTTGAGGTTTCCTTTGTGATAATTGCAGTGGTTGTGCTGACATCAAGAATCGTACAATATAGCATGATAGTACTCAGAGAAATTATTGGCGTGGTAAGTGATGAATGGAATTCATTTGCATATAGGTACACTGTATTATTATTCCAAAAACCGAAAGGTCAACTGATTAATCTCAGATAAGATAGTATAATACATACTCCAAGTATCGAAATGCACGCCATCGTGTCGGGATTCAATATTTCGACATTAATTATGATGTCATCATTGATGATGACATCATTAATGTCAAAATATTGAATCCCGACACGATGGCGTGCATTTCGATACTTGGAGTATGTATTATACTATCGTATTATTATTAGTGTAGACGTGGTTGGCGCATCGTTATGGCTTGGACTCGGGGGTTCGAAACTCTCGCTGTGCAAATCGCTTGTGTCCTTGGGCAAGGCACTTTATCTACGGTTGACTCTCCACCCAGGGATACAAGTGGTTACCTGGTAGGTTCCAACACAACTGCGCTGATTACTAGCTGCAATATTACGCAATAATATAATTTAATAATTTAATTTGGTGTTGAGTATGTGTTCCGGGGTAGTAACGTGAAGCGCTTAGAGGCTTTGTGCATATGAAGCGCTATATAAGAACGACATATTATTATTTTTATTTATGACGATTACTGTTACGTCACCGATGACGAATGCTGTGGTTTGTCATTTGAATATATACGTACACTGAAACAATTTTAGTAATACAAATCAGGGGAAACGAACCAAACGATATAATTCATTGTCGTAATATGATAACTAGCTATTAAAATAATTAATCTGCTTTTCATCTTTTTTAGATTGTAGCTTTCGGCTCATTCCCGTTGTTTCTAGTCGACGCTCACTTTGCTTACAAGAACATTTCGAATCATTGATTGTCACTAGCGACACACTCTCGAATATTCAAGGACTGCTATTATTGAAGTATAGAAGGACAATCGAGACGGATGACGTGAAACAAATAGCTTATTAGCTAGTAAGACGGCCCTACTTTGAAGATATGTTGGTGGAGCTCTTCCTATGTTAGAGATTGGTCAGAGGGATAGCCTATGTAATGCCACATTGATTATTGTAGATAAAATAGTATAATACATACTCCAATTATCGAAATGCACGCCATCGTGTCGGGATTCAATATTTCGACATTAATTATGTCATCATCAGGAATGATATAATATTATAATGATAATATTTTAGTCTTATTCATGATAATATTGTAGACTTATTCATAAATAATTTTATCACGAATAAAATAGGCCTACTTAGTGCTCTTCCGACTGTACAAAACTAAGGGTCATTGTAACGTCAGGCCACTAAATACTAATGTTTTTCATTCCCATATATTTAATAAGGTCACGTGACCAACAGCTACATCACATTTTTTTACAAGCCTATTGTGTTTACGTATAAATATAATATGTGTTTTGGAAATTAGTTTACATCAATCAACTACTGAACATTTGGACTATGACGTAAATTTGTTGTTGACGATGCTCAAGATAAGTAGGCCTATGTTGTAGACCACACACACTGTAAAAACATCATTAAGTTATACACACGCGCTTATGCCAGATGTGTAAAAAAAATAAAACAATACTATATTGGTATAATATTTGTTGAGAGCGAACTTTGCGCTAGACATTTTTAACCAAGGGTGGCAAAAATGTGCACATTTTTAAAGACATGGATTTACTCCAGTCTAATTATATTCCAATTTCTTCAATGTCGTATTTTTTTGCTCTGCACAGTATTGTTAATATAAACGATATAACTTGCAATAGTCATCAGTTGGCCTAATGACTTATCGACACGGAAAACATTCGTTGTATCTTATCAACGTGCTACTGTATTAACCATAAATGCATTCACATTGCAGATTTATGTTGCGTATTTATATCTTGTTTTGGTACCAATATCGAGCGGCTTTCAAGTTGCGCAAGGTTCCTAAATCGGATGTTATAAACATTATGAATGTGCAATAAATCATGACAGTGCGCTATAACTGAGCTGTCCGTGATAGTTCAGACCTTGTGTTTGCATAATACAGTTCATACTGTACTAGTTACTGTAGCTAGTTTCTACTTCTGCAAATGCTTACATTAAAGGTGCATGTTTTCTCATATACATTAATGAAATACAATACTGTACATGAAAACAATTTCCCGGTAAATTTATAGATTTTTGAAGTAACAATTTGTAAAACCAGCGAAAACCAAATTGTTGCGGCGGTCTGAAGTCTTATTAAAAGTAAATGACAAATTTCTAATCTTTTGAAATGAGCAATTGAATTCAATGTTTTAATTTATCATTTTCATTTTGAAAGTCAGCGTACGAATTAGCAGCTTCTCATTAGACTTCCCAAGAGTTTAGACTACTGTGTATTGTTTAGCAAGGACTTTCACTATTTACCTCCTCAGTTGGCTCTTAGGGATGTTCTTGCATTAATGAATTTTCTATTCTGCTAAAAGAATATTAGGTGGACATTGACATCAGTGGTATAATAATAATAATATGTCGTTCTTATATAGCGCTTAATGCCTTAACAAAGCCTCTAAGCGCTTCACATTATTACCCCGGTCATTGGATCAAACACATATGGAACACATTGAAACACTAAACGAACGAACGAACGAACGAAGGGAGGGGGGAAGGCCCCCGGGCAAGGCCCTTCAGGCCCCCAGTCATTGGGAGGATGCGAAGAGCCCCAGTGTTTTTAGCATTCTAAGACGTATTTTAATGCCCTTTCTAAGTTTATGCATCGTGATATGACCCAAAAAAAGTATACTTAATTTTAGCTCAGATATCGCTAATATAGCATATTACAATAAATACCTCAGACTACGGCTTGGAAAACGGCCTTGTTATTTGTAAAAAAAAATTGGTTGAATTTGCTGGGCCCCTTGAGGCTCCAGGGACCCTGGCTTTGCCAATGAGAGCTCATAGCCGTTACACCACTGATTGACATAAATTGACTACGTTGACACTTTAGCAAATGAGACAGTAGAACTAATTATGTTAAATAGTAATATTTAAGCCTACATTAATATAGAGAAAGAAATAAATAAGAACCAGCGTACTTTTCTATTCTACACAAATTTTACGGTATATTAATTATTATTTATTATTTAATATTTTGTTATATCACAATTCATATATAAGTACAAATTATGACTATAGGTGTAATTATTATGAGTACCCGCCTAATCGACTACAAAACTCAGTAATTTTTAAATTTTTTGTTAAGAGTATACTGATGTTATTAGTCATTGTTGATTGATTATACTATTTTTTCAATATTAATATCATGGAGCTACAAGATGCTTTCATACATGTTATTAATACCATCATCATTACTATATTATTGCTTTTGTTATTACAATATTATATCTTTGTTATAATATTGTAATAAAAATAGCAATAATATAGTTATTACAATATTATATTTTTGTTATTATTATTTATCAAGCACTTTATGTCACTAAGTCTTTTGTCTTGTGAAGTGTGATTGTAATTAGCTAATAGCACCAGATAAATTTTAATAGCACACTGCACAACCAATTCATTGAGCTTCACATTTTATTGTTTTCATATCCAATCGTGTAATAACAAAAATGCTAGTGTCTTAAACAGTGCTTAATGACCATCAACATAATGTTCCAATTTTCAAATTAACTGGCAGTCCAATATTTTACATGGGATACTTTGGGTTGAGCGCACACTGAAATTTAGACACGCCCACTGAACCGTGCAACTATGAAAAAACATGATATATCTAGCACAGTTCCAATTTTACACACGGACCAATACTTACATTATAAGATAAATGGGTGATTATACCGTACTGCATTCAATTTATAAATTACTGTTTGTTATTCACCTTAAAATTTGTAGAACCACCAAATTAAATTTTAATTTTTAAAGTGTTAACTAACTGTAAAATAATCTGGGTAATAGATTCATACAAACCATGGATAAAACATACACAGGACTGAATTGCAGCGGTACAGATACTCACTGATTTATAGGAACACATTTTATAGACACATTATTATATAAAATAGTTATAGTCTGCTAAACACCATTAAGATAAAAACTACAACATTTTAAGCAAATTCTAAATACAATATTTAAAAAAAATACTTACATGACGATCCAATAAAAAAAAGAAATAAGACATATTTTGATACCAGGCTCTTAACAGCCAATTTTGATATTTTTCATGTTAATATGTTGTGTTTGATACTTTACCTTGAAACAATAAACTAGATAGGAGCTGCACCTGCAGTGCTAATTACCTGTCTAAAATCAGTTCGTTAAAAGCATATCTCAGAGATGCAATTTATTGCTGTTACTTTAATTCAATCTTCTGCACCATTCTGATCATTATAAGCATCATTGTATGCATTATCATTGTCTTCTGATCCATGTTCCATTTTTATACGAGCAGATTCAAAACCATCATCCATATTTTCTTCCGGAGCTTCCCTGTCATGTCGATCACGATCTCTGTCGCGGTCACGGTCCTTACGATCACTTCTATCTCTATCTCTATCCCGATCTCTCCTACGTTCACGATCGCGATCTCCTCGGTCTCTATCACGATCTCCTCGGTCTCTATCACGATCTCCTCGGTCTCTATCACGATCTCTACGCCTGTCACGGTCACCCCGATCACGGTCCCTATCTCTGTCTCTGCGACGTTCACGTTCACGGTCTCTGCTTCGGCTACGACTCCTGTGCCTTTCACGATCACGATCCCTGTCACGGTCACGATCCCTACCACCTCGAGTGTCTCTCATATCTCTTTCTCTATCCTCCTCCCTACATGTAAATCAAATTATTTTATGTCAGCATCAAATAAAAAACTGAGAAATTAGCTAGAATTGGCGTTGTATCGAAGTGCAGTTCATTAAATGCTAAAAACCACTCTCCCCTCCCCACTCCCAAAAAAAAGATGGATCAACCTGGTGCATTATATCTCCTACTATATACAGGTAGGGTGCACTGTAAATACCAAACTGACCTTGCTGCAGCTGCCGCTTGTGACATCTCCTCACGACCTGAATGTCTCACGTTGACCTCTGGGCCGCCCCTTCTGGTTCCTCCAATACCACCACCTAAATAAAGATATTAATACAAATTAGTGACGTCACTGTTTGGCTGGCTGCACATATGTAGACATCAATGACATGAGCCCAGGATTATTATTTTTTTGAAATTTAAATACATACTGTAGTTAAAAAAGAGAATCAAGTATCTATATATTTCTTCTTATCCTTTCTTAATATACATTTACACAACACAACGAAAACAACAATTAATAATTTAATATAAGGTGCTGTAAACCGAAGATAATGGATTTGTTTCATTCAGAACTAAGAAGCATGCTTTCAGGTTGTATATTGGGCAGGATATGGGGAGGTCTCATAAGTTTGAAATAACAACAATGAATAACGTGTCATCAATATTCAAACTGAAATTGAATCCCTATTTATTATCAATATCATTTTCTGTGTACCTCCGTTTTACAATAATCAACAAATTCACTAGTATAAAACGGACGTCACTTTAAACTTATTTCCAAGATTCAGATATATTAAATATTTGAGCATATTATAGATAATAATACCGGGAATTGTCATGTGATGTATCCAAATTTATTATCACTTTCCTACTACAAACATGCTAACTTTTACGTACTATTGCTAGAACCTTAACATTTTACTAAAGAATAATTACTGTTAATAAATGATGCAAAAACATTTACTCAATGTTACCAAGTCATTAACAAGTGTATACATAGGACCTTACCTAATCTCCTTGGAAGCCAACCCTTTACCGTTCGCGATCGTTCAACGTCTACAAGAACACGGCGACCGTCAATCTTCTTACCATCAGCATACTTGTAGGCAGCTGTATGGAATGATTGAAATCACAAAAAAAAAAAATGTACAAAAATCAACTTGAGTGTAAAAAACCTGGGCAACACCGTGGTAGCAATATACCAACCTGTTTACCTGTGTTTAAATAAAGACAGTTGCAATATTATATGCTGCAAATATTCATAGGGGTAAAAACAGCTTATATCGCACCAGATATACCTGTAGGGAAAGATATTATTACACAATACATCATAAACATTCCCTCAAATCCCTCCAAAACCTTCTTTTCAAATGATTTACAGCATTGTTTTAATTGCTTGCGTACTGTATATGAGGCATGCCATCCCAAAACCAGCGTACTGTTGCTAATAGTAACAGTGTAATTAGCATAAGAATGTGGCAGTATTGTATACTTTAATACAGAAGCATAATACTTTTACTCGTAAATTTGGCAACAGTATGTCAATTCCAGTAAATTACCCATCCTTTAATTAAACGTACAATGTGGAGAATAAGAATGGAATGTGTGTTCACTAATGCTGGTTTTGGGATGGGAAGCCTCATACAGTATTATTGAGGAACTTGATACTTAACAGCAAGTATGTTTTTTGAAGGGGTAATTCAATTCACAGAATTTGTTGCTCTTAAGTTTTTGTTTCATACTATTTTATGGTAACAAAATTTAGGCTATCTGTACTAAAAAAAATATATATATGATCACTGCGTCTTGTTATAACGCACACACTTGATTCATGTAGTTATACTGGCTACCAAAAGCATGCACCCTAGCCTAAAAATGAAACTCAGCTCCTATCAATCAGCCAAAGATGAATAGCCAAAATAGTACCTAAACTAACACTTTCAGTCTCTAGTCTAGAAGTCTAAGATTGCATACAGCCACAAGATCACAAGTGGTGGATATACAGTACCGTACCACTAGTACTCCAAGTTAAATTAGTAACATACTATACTATATGTATAATACAAGTACATTATTGTTGATGCTTGAAAGCCATACTTTAACTCTACAATTCTGACTTAAGACAATGCCAACGCATATTTTTCTAGAGGTGGTTTACCAAGGGCACAGAGAGTAGTTTGTTGGACCTCTATTTACTTCAAATCATTATCCCAGGCATTGGAACAAACTTCTGACAAAAATATAATAATAATAAAGTTCAACTTGATATAGACGCCTATAAGCACTTAACAATCAACAAAAAAAAATTAAGATTTTAATAAATAAAAATTAGAGATATTCAAGCTAAAGAGTTTAATGGAGAAAGTGCAAATTGAAAAGGTGGGTTTTAAGGAGTTGCTTGAATGTGTTGAGAGATTCAGCTTTCCTGATTTGAGTTAGGAAAGGCGTTCCAAAGAACGGCTGCTGACCATGAAAATTCGCATGGTCCATAGTATTTTGTTGAAGGCTGTGATGGTATAGGCCTGAGAAGAACCTCTGATGACCTCAAGGTCCGTTCAGTCTTGAAAGGGAAAGATGATGTCAGATAGAAATGTTGGAGCCATGTTATGAAGTGATTTAAATGTAATGAGCTCACTGAATAGCCTCCAAAGTGTTCTGCAAATGTAATTACTGCATTGTTGGCATCAAAACTAACAAGGTACCTAATTATAATACAGAGTGCGAAAGAAAGATGTCTAAAGTACCTTCCAAAGAACACACACTCACAAAATTGTTTAGTTGTAAGCACCATAGCCGCACCACAGCCTTACCACTGCGCTACATGGTTCCACAAAAAAATAAAATTGTACAAAACAGTGTTCTTCTATGAAGCATTTAAAATCAAATTACAGATTCGAACATCATGATTACAAATATAAAATACAAAAAAAAAATAAATAAATGAATAGGGAAGGGAGGAAAAGGATAATAATGATAACATAAATAAATAAATAAATAAATACAGTTCTCACTAACCAACTGGTTTACTTCCCATAATGCATCCCTCCTAATTAATTATTGTGTGACACAAGTCTTACCAGTCAAATACTACCTGACCTTACCCATAACCCTTTGATCTGGTCGATTTATCTGGTAGAATGCTGATAGTCCAAGTTGGATACAAATTTTGAAATGCCCAAATGACGCACTTACCAAAATGCACTTTGTTTCCATTTGTTAAACTTACCAAAGTACAAGTGCATTTCACAGTTTATTAATGTTCATAAATAAATCAAAACAGTGTTGAAAACAACTATGAATTGATAATTTAACATTTTTATTTATTTTTTTAATAACTAATTAAATTTTGTAATGGTTATTAGTTTAATACAACATTATATATTAAATTACTAATATTTAATTTCATTAAGTTTATTGTTTAGCATTTTAAGTTATATTTTAAACTACTTTATAATTAATGGTCCTATTATTATTAACATTTTAATATATATATGTATATGTGTATATATATATATACAGGTATAAACATATATACATATATATATACATATATTTATATATATATATATATTTTATATAGTATTTATATGTATACTATATTTAATTTATCTAAATAACTTTATTGTAGTGTATTCAGTTATAGGTGCTCATATTTTAAATATTCAGATTAACCATTTAATATTATTAGACGACATGCATACAAAGTCAAATGCTAATAGTTTTCTTTGTTTAATTATATAAAATTCTTCCATTTAATGTATCTTGCAGCTTCTTGCTTTGATGATGACAATAAAGACATCATGAATCTTGTGTTTTATTATTACAATATTAAATTTAATTAATGGTAATTAAAAAAACAATTATTTATAAATTTGCATAAACATTATCTATTAATATATTTTTAATAGTTTTAAAATTTATAATATAATTTTTATTGTTTAGTTTAGTTTATTTAAATTGAATTATGTTGACTATACACATTCTTACCAGTTTCTCTTACCAATAATACCTTCCTTATAATGAATACAAACCTAATTAGGTGTATAACTTTCAACCCAATCATGGTTGCTAATCGCACACGAGGGCGAGGGACAGTGACACGCAACAAAGCCGTTACGTGAAGCAGGGAGCACACGTTTGGCTGTTATATGAAAGTAACAAAAAAAGTGCCATGTCAGATTCACGTTTACACATCTCACAAAACAACACCAATTTAAAAGTTCTCCTAATATTTTTTCGTGTAGAAATCATAGTCTATGAAATGAGATTTGTTTTTTTTTGTACAGAAAATTCATGGTAATGTTTAATAAACTATTAATAACAGCTTAAGGTTTTGTAAGTATTATCCCTAAGATTCAGATTATAGGAATTCCATTCCATTTTTTATTTTTATCTGGCACAAGTTATTCTTATTATTCTTGCCAATTAGGTCAAAAATGTAAACACTAAATTCTAGTCATATTTCTCTAAAATGGTCCCCAAATGGTGAGTGAGTAACTAAAGGATGTACTGTAGCTAGTTTTTATGTTGAGTGGATAATGATTAATATACACATTGCATGTGAACATGTTTCACTCCCCAGACCTAATACATACCTAGTAATGAAGCCAGATGATAAAATTAGACGCCCACGGATCTAATGCATCAAAATATAAACTAATATGAACCCTGGTCTGGCTCGATACTAGCTATGTATTAGATCTGTGGGCATCTCCCTTTAAAAACAAAACATACGCAATCAAAAATGAGAATAAAACTTATTGAACAATCATCAAATTTACAATGAATTTTATATTATAATTCAGAGTTGAAAATATAGGGCCTGCCCTACATGATAAAATATAACTACTTATCAAAGACTGTTGAGTCTGATTAACATAATAGCGAATGACTCTGAATAACAGATGCCAATAAATAACAGATTTTGTTGTTAAAGGTTACAGGAAGATCACAGGTAAATATTTAATACCAGGGATGTAGTTATGGTGGATGGGGCCACCCAGTCTAAAGCTAGTTTCATGGCCCTCCACCCGCCCTGATTAACCCACTTTCCATCTTTAAAATCCACTCTTATTATTTAGAGTTAGTTAATATGTTTTAACTGTTAATTAAAAATGTGCAACATTCAAAAATTACTTTAGATAACCTGATTAAACACAAATAGAACACATTCAATGTAGAAATAGTCAGTACGCACAGACTGATAATCTATCAAGTGTTTGAAGTTTTCTAATTTTTTAATGATATTTTTTTTTTTTTACTCTAAAATGTACTCACTGTGCATGTCTCGTTCATGTTCGTATTCAATGAATGCATAACCACGTGGCTTCCCAGTTTTTTTATCGTGAACTAAATTAATCTATGGATAAAATATGAAAAATAATATTTATCAAAATGTATGGGGCATGAAGATTGTGTGCTCTACCTTTCTACATCTGCTAACAGTAAAATTCCAGGAAATATTAAAATAGAAAAAAATATTTATCATTATTCAGAATATTTATCGGCATCTACAATTCAAAATTTGACAATGCAACTTAATAGATGAAAGTGGCATAAAATTTCAGCACGACTACTCCATTTGAGTGAAGGCGGTTGCACGTTTTGCCGATTTGCTAGTGAATATCATGGGTAATCATAACACGCCTTTTCTTTGCACAAATATCTGTCGGTTTTCTAATGGAGAATTGCTGCCCTTGTTGGCACAGCTCCTTGTAATAACATACCATTTTGATTGGACCATAAGCTTCAAACTCGCGTCTCAATTTCGATTCTGACGTATCGAAGTTCTGAAAGTAAAATAAATATTTAAATTGATTAAAGATGACAGTAAAACTCTTTCCATTTTAACCATTCAAAATTATATTAATAAATGTACGGTTATAGTTTACTGTAAGGAAGCAATTTAATTACTTTTATAATTAGACAAATGCAGCTAATGTATGTCAGTTGATCAAGGGAATGTTACTTAAATACTGCCCTCATTTTAGATGAGGTTATATAAAAAATATACTCACAATTCTTGCTACAAATAGGGTCTTGAATGCATCACTAGTGGCACTTCCATTATTGTGAGGATCCCCTGCAAATGAAGAATGTAAACAATGTGAATAACTGCTTGATTTGATTTCTTTGGTCGAAGTACACCAAGGAGACAATCCACTGAATTCCCATGACCTGCACTGTTCTAGTGGTGAATTGGGCTCATTTCCCAAGTGTATTGCGTTCTTTAACATGCACATGGGGAAAAACAAGCAGTGGGATTTGAACCAGGGCCAAGGTTTTTGTGAAAATCTCCATTGTCCAGTGCCCACACATTGGCTAGAGCCAGCTTAGCTAACTGAGCTATGTTGGTCTTTCTACATTAAAAAATATATTGTCCATACCACAATTCTAGGAATATACTGTATTATGCAAATTAAGCACAGTAAATACAATTTAGCTCAATACACAAGAGCACTTGGTACTTTTATGCTTAAGATCCTATCATGCACTACTGTACATTTTTACGAAGGTTGTTATACAATTGCATCCAGTAAAAGAACATGATTGATTTTGATGATTATTTTCAATAAAATGCTGGCAGCCTCATGCTATGGTAGTCGGTTAGAACAAGCTGCTGGGAATACCCATGTTCATTTAAATTCCACTACGTACAATGTACATGAAATGGCAAATGGATTTCAACCAATAATACTGTTCAAAATCACCACCAACCAATCAGGTATTTTATGTTCCTGGTGTTTACTACGTGCAGTTACATGATCAGTAAAATGCCCGTGAAAAATCCAGGATAAACAGATATTGATTTTAAACAAATAAACATACATGACTCAATTTCTTCCCTGAGATTCATAGCAGTTTGGTCTTCTCGCTCCTTGGCTTTGCGTACTTTCTTTTCATCCCTGGTTTCTCCTCTAGTCGGTGGCGGTGTATCTTCTGGGTCCTAAAAAATGTAATTAATTTATCTTTAGTCATTTTTAGTACAGTACTTGTTTACAGTAGTAAGTAGTATAAATAATTTGTCAAAATAGAAAATTACAATAAAATTCCCGAGATAAAAATATGCCAGACTATAGAACCTACCATCAACATAATAAATGCAATAAGATATAATAAATATTAAATTGAAACTAAGAAAACCACACCCACCCACCAGCCCCAGAACAACAACTACAAAACACTTTAATTCTAATCAGTAGAGTACATTAAAAATGAGAAGCTTTTTGAGGAAAGTAGTGTCTCAGTTTCAAAATAAATTGTTTAAAATTTGTAGATAGGCGTCAGAGAGGTGTAGTACTGTTTCGGCCACTTACAAGTTTGGCTAGGATGATGTACTGTATGGAATGCATTTTGTCGCCCTTCACCCTGTTGTCCCATCTTGTTTCAAGTCCGCCACCACGCTCGTCATTATTATGCTATATTTATATTATTATTATTATTTCTATTACTATCAAATACGCCATATTATTATTATTATTTTCTTTGCCTTTTTTTTGTTTTTCATTTCTCACTATTTATTGTTATTTCTTGACGATTTTCACCTCTTTTTTTCCCCCAATGTTATTGTATTGGTTGTTTGTACATTTTTATGCATTACATATCTATATACTTCTATTTTTGTATTACAATGGGGTGAGCCATTGAAGGCCTAGAGGTGTTTGTCAACTGTTGCCGTTTGCTCATTTCCCTCACTGTCTTGTTGAGAAATTTATATTTAAAAAAAAAATTTCTATTGCAATTGTATGTTTCCAGTCAATTTGATTCATTGAAGGGCTATTACATATCCCAATACTAAATTAATTCTTTAGGCTTAGCCTGCTAATAATTCACCTACTCTACAGTACCTAAGCTAGGCTATGCCTATCCAGTAAATAATATAGCGCCATAGACTAGGCCCGGCCTAGGCGTGCCTAGGGAACTAGGCACTAGCTAGCCTAGAATTACCAACAATTATGTCAAAACACAAAAAAGCCCATCATTATTATTTTATTAATTAAATACAGTATCATCAGTAGGGGCCTAGGCTGTAGGCGTACAACAGGCTACAGACTGAGACAGTAGCTTGCTTCCTGCTTGCTTGACCAGCATTACAGTAGGCTGTAGCTAACTAAGCCTAAGTATGTATGTCTATCTATGTGGTAGGCAAGCCAAAATTTTCAAAAATAAAATAAGTATATAACTGTTGAAAGAAAATAAACTACAAAGTTATAAAGTAAATAAACACAATTGTATGTCTTACCTCAAAAAGTCCATTTACAAGGTTAGCCATTCCCGTGTAACCAGATGTCTTCGATTCATGGCGGAGTTTGACTACAGGCGGAAGATAAGGAATGGGGTCGCGGGGAGCAAACAACGCCAACAAATTCGGTGGCAAATACTGAGTCATTTCTCCGATTTGATAACCAAAATTGTCAAAATATGAAACGTAGTTAACTATATAACAAACATAGACACAGAAATTCTAACATTTACACAGAAATAACCTTACAAACTGTTGATAAAAATTAGCAACAACACTCGCTTTCTTTTTTTCTACACGCGTCGTCTTGAAAAATGTCGACAGAATACTGCCCCCAACGTACTTAACCAACCAGCCTGGTTCCCTGACTTTGAAAGAAATCAGAAAATTTCTGTTTCCTACGAACAACGGCACATCCATACTGTTCAATTAGGCCTATACAGTACTCGATTCTCGGGCGCCATCGCCTGAAATCGGGGGAGGGGAAAGGTAAAATCGGGGGAGGGGAAAGGTAAAATTTTTGGTTTAGGGGGAAATATTTTTCCCATAGTAGACCGGAGATACAATTATACGGTAATTTATCAACACAGACATTTAACGGGTAACGCTTCTATCCATGTGCTTGTAATTTTTATTTATAAATACTCAGTAGGCCTATATTTTTTACAAATGTAAAATATATTGTTTTTAGGTGGATAGTGGCCTTGAAACGACCAATGGGAGCAATTAATTTTATTGGCCAACCTTACAATATTCATCTTCCCCGCAAAACTGGGGTGAGGGAAAAACTGGGGGGGGGGGGAGAGAAAGAAAATTATTTGGAGGGGAACTTTCCTCAACCCCCTAGCGAAGCCACTGCTGATTCTTCGAGTCTCCGAGCGTACACACTCATTTTCTTTCTGTAAGAGTGCCATTTCTGGCCGTCTAGAGGTCCCATAATCATAAATTTTCTTACCTCAGCCCCGTCATGATTGTAGATTCAAGGAGGACGAGCCGGCCCGGGTACACCAAAAAAAAAAAAAAAACACAGGAATTATAATCAAATTTAAGTCTGAGCTGAAAGGCCATTTCCGGCCATCTAGAGGTGCCCGCCATAGTCATTTTTTATTTCTCTATTTTCTTTAAAATTTTCAAGAAACATACAATAATTATAATCTAATTTAAATCTGAGAGTGCCATTTCCGGCCATCTAGAGGTGGCATAATCATTTTCTCTCTTCAGCCCCAACCATGCTGGGGCCGAGGTGGGTGGACCCTCTATTTCTGTCCGTTCCTGCCCCTCCCCTCCTCTCCTTTAATTCCACGATGTTTGTGATAAGATTGATTTAATTTTGTATAGATCAGTTACGGTATGTCGAAATTAGCTATATTCAGCTTTGAAAGTTTTGATAGACTACATCAGAACATTGGAAATTAAAAGCACTGAATAATATTTGCTCTCAAACCAGTGGCGGATTCAAGGGGAGGGAGGAAGCCGGTCCGCGCCCGCTCCTAAATATGGGAAAAAAAATTAAATGGTATATAAATTTTAAGTGGAGTGTCATTTCCGGCCATCTAGGAGTGCCATAATCATACATTTTCACACCTCAGAGCCCCAACCTTGCATAGCCGTCGGAAGCATTTTACAAGTGGTCCGGCCATTTTAATAAGAGTGTGCATGGGTGGGTGGTAGGGTGCAACACACTTTTTTTTTCACCATGGTTGAAAAATGGCTCCTCAGCCGGGAAATAGCACATACATAATTTTAGAAAAATTAATGTCTTCACTTTTAATTTAAGGGTTACAATTTTCTATATTGGAAGTAGGCCTAATCAGGGCCGGCTTGGCCATTATACCTCTGCCAAAATTTTATAATATTTATTTGTTATTTTATATTATACCTTTAAACAATTTCAAAATCAATCTTAAATATTGAAATTAAGGATTGTCAATAAAGTTGAAATGTACACGGCAATACATAAATTGTGTTTATATTTATATATTATTTACACGTAGATATATTAGCCAATGCACTGTTTTGTGTATAGCGTTTTTTTTTTCTATTGAATGACGATAATGTTAGTGGCAATGTTAGTAATATTTTAATGGTAAGACAAGTTGATGTCTGGCTACTAAGAAATGTTTAATTAAGAATAAATAAGAGCATGCAGTTACTGTACAACCATTTAAAAACATTTAATGTATTATTTTTTAATTTCCATCTAAATAGAGAAATCTAAAGACCACATTTAGTACCCATGAGTTCCAAGTCTCCCGTAGAGTCTCCTGAATGGGGTCTCCTGGAAACTGGTAGGAAGAACTCCAGCATATTTTTTCCCGAAATAAACCATCTCCCGCAAATTCATGATGATATTTGCATGCTTTAACAAGTTTTTAAACTGTAATGTCAATTGTCTGCGCAGCAGTTAGTACCAATCATTAATGGTTATCACCATGCACAGCAAAATTTGGTTGTCATAAGAAAATTCATTTAAACAGATCTCCCGGAAGTGGATTCTTCCAAATTGGGACCCCTTTGAATTAGACACCAAAAGACCACCATGCACAGGACTTGACTACAGGGAAATAGTTTTAGCATTAATAATAATAATAACATCTTACAGTAACTGTAGGCCCTACACCCATTCAAACATCTTACATTTACTATATCATTTCTTAATTCCCCTCTAAATAGAGATATTAAAGACTACGTTTAAAGCCGGTCTTTAATTATATTGATTCAAATTAGAGACCAAAACTGCTAAAGACCACTAAAACCCTGGTCCCAAAAAGGATTTTAATTGGTGGTATGGAGGAAGACCTGTGATAGGATTGAGAAAAAGTGGTCCGGCCAAAGCCGGTGCGACCGGTGCGGTTCCGACGGCCCTGCGGGCCTGGTGGGGTTGAGTTATTTTCCACCTCTGATGTCCCTCCGGGCCCCGTCATTTTCTACGACTACTACCGGTACTTAAAAAATAAATTAAAAAAAACTTTAATACTGTTCATATTGCATCTTCAGAATCTATGAAGGCCTCAAAACATCAAAAATGTCTGGGCACGAGGGGGCTCCGCCCACTCGACCCAGCAGGGCTCTGTCCAACAATAAACATCCACTGTGGCGGATGCTGAAATTCTGAATAGAAATCACCTCAGGCCTACCATGGTTGAGGCTGAGCCACTTCTAGATGGCAGGAAATGGCATTGTCAGACTCAAAATTTGAATGTAATTTTATCCCCGATTTATTTTAATTTTGTAAAATTTATGCCCCCCCCCCACCCCAGAATTAAACAAATAAAAAAGATTCTAAAAAATCAGGAATGAGATATTGGAATTAAAATATAATGCCAATTAAAACAATTTAAAGTGAACAACGTCTATATGTCAAGGGATTCATTATTGATAAGGCAATGATCACCTGTGTTTATCACACTGCTGTATGTGTATGAACGTGTAAAAATTTGTCTAAATATCTTGCGGACTGCAACGTTTTTCGGACTCCCTGTGGACCCTTTTGACTTGGCAGACCCCCCAATTATTTTTCGCGGACCCCCGGTTGGGATCCACTGCTCTATAGATCATATTCATGGCATGGTTCCTCCAATTCTCTGCAAAAACGAACTGATATTGTATTTTTAATAGGGGCATGTATTCATAGATTTGTGATAAACATGCTGATCACAGGTGCCTTGGTCTTGCATTGAAATACATGTTTGACCTTCTTGAACCTAAATCACAACACGATTTATCAAATTATGTAGTAAGCAGCTTCTTGGACCTTTTTCAACCTCGTACTATTAGTGATTGAGACAGATGGTAGATGTGTAAATAGTTTTCTTTTACAATTTCATAAGTTAAATTTATCATGTGGGCGTCATTAGAGCCGCAGAACATTGCATCTGTCTTGGATATTGGCGTTTTACAAATTATAGGCCTATACTGTTGATTGATTTGATTATAATGATGATGATGATGATGATAATAATGATAATATCTATGCATGTCATTGTATATGTCGGCATAAAAATAATCTACCAGCAGTCAGCGAAAATAATTCACAGATGTAAAATTCCTTTGAATTAGCATTCAAATAATAACTCATTGATTTTTGGAATTTCAACAGTGAGTATCGGTGCATAATAAGTTAACAAATCATTCGCAATCAAAGAGAAAAAAAAACAATAAACAATACAGAACACTGCTACAATTATATTTCACAAACACTGTTTATTTGAATACAAAATCAAGGATCATAAAATTGTTCTGCCATTGGGGTTTGTTCTTTTAACAGAAATTCATGATCACAATTATTCTACAACAGAATTATATTGTTCCTGGTTGAAATTTAAGGACTTTTCTACCCAAGTAAACTGCTACACAAATCTAAAGTGTACCTGTATGCATGGGCGTCAACGCGTCCTGCAGTTCTATGCTACAGACGGAAGACAATTTAGCCCACAGTACATTATACCACGGAACAGTTAACTGTTCCCTGATTACAGATATTGAAAGTGAGTATAATGAAAATGATAAAACGTGAAATCTACAAAATATAAAACAGGAACACGAAACATCTACAAAACAAAAATTTATTCTGTTCGGTGTTCTTCATCGTAGGTGGCATGTGTCACTATAAAGCAATAAGCTGCATCCTCCAAGTCCAAAGATTCATATACTACAGTTACAGCACCACTTTGATGAAAAGTTTAATCCTGGTTTCCATACCATCGCTACCTTGTTGCTACAGTTTTTTTACTGCGTAACTGTCGCCGACCCAATCGGGAAGGCTCTCTGATCGACCGACCAATCAGCGTCGCCAAAAGCTGCGGCGATAGCATGTAGCGATTTGAAACCAGGTATTAGGAAATATTAAATTACAAAGAAAGAGAATCCGCTGTACGGTACAGGAAAACACATTCCACCAACAACAGAGCAAATGCTATGAATCCGAGCACCTACAATTAAAAAGCGATATTATATTTATTACGAATTATAATTATTATTGATAAACACTAGTCGACATAATTTTGTACTGAATAAAATTATATACTGTACTGTGCAGACAATAGTGGAAATTTTATTTCTCATTAACCAATCTGGCCAGCATAAAATGTATACTGCTTTGGCTGCTACATTACTTTTTTGAATGGTCTGTTAAGCCCTAATAATGTCTTCAGTTATTGTCAAGGTCAAGTTAAACAAGCAAACACTCAACCGGCTTACGGCCTTTTCATAAATCGTTGTTACTCTTGGTCTACAATGGTTCCATTAAGGTAAAATATCTACTTTATTATTTTATTTGTAACGCCCCCATCTCTTAATTCTTTGCAGCTCCAACTAATGGGATACAGTGTATGGCGAAGATAGAAGATACAGATAGAAAGTATAATACTATATATTTTTGATACAGCCGGACAGTAATCAATTATTAATAACTGTAAATTACATATAATATTCAATCAACATTAGCGTACGACATATAACTTGTCTGTTTAAACAGTCAAATGTGTCGATTACATGAACATTTATCATTTAATTATGCAGACGTCACACTATTCGACAATTTAGATATATTGTTTTTTTATTTTAGTCAGTGTATGGATCTATTAATATTCATAGGTCCACGGTCAGTGTATACGAATCTCTCAAGCATTTGAGAAAATAAATGTAAATGACAGATGTTAGACCTACATCGACTAGAGTAACTTACACAGGCTGCGACTTGCTCATCTTGATCTTTATTTATCGCAGACGCCAGGCATGCAGACCCGACCAGAGCCAGAATAGCAAATACAACACAGGACACAAGTTCCTAAAAGAAAAAAACGTGAAACCATTTATAGGATTAACGGTGGTCCACTACATAAAAAAAAACGTTGATTCGAGAGCCAGGATGGGGAGAGGGAGATGCAGGGAGGAGAATTAGCGAAGTTAGTCAAGTTGGATGTAACGGCGCTCCATAGATGTCACAATTGTCATAATTGTCTGTGTAAACATCTATTCCATATGCTACAGTACTGCCTATGTGATCATGATGTGGGCTACTATTAAATAAAATCTGTTGTTTTTGCGCAACAATGAAGTAATTATGTGTCTAAACATGTGAAACATAACCTGACTAGATAATAACATATCATACCACTTTTGCGACTTTTGCTTTAATCAGTTTCATCCATGCAGGCATAATAAGATGAGCCACTAAAGCAACCAACGTCAGAATTGCCACAAGGATTGCAAAAACCGCAAATATGAAATACTCCCACGGGGCTCCGTCACCACAGATCTCATTATTGAAAAAGCGGACACATTTACTGTTTTCGATATCGATGATAATGTCGACGATGAGGGCAAAACCGATGACCAGAAGAACCTGAAAACAAACATTCCGGAATTTACGGTTTGCACGTTTTGTAGGTACACACACACACACACACACACACATATATATAATATTCAATGAACCGTTTTATATATATGTGATGTAATATAGTAGTGATTATACACACACATATATATATATATAATATATATAATGTATATATAATTCTTACACTGATTTGTGTCTCTGTGGCAAATAATATGGAAGTTTGAACTTTGTTTGAATATAAGCCTTTATATATGTAAACTTACAGACTCGATGATCTTCAATAATCCATTCGGTGTGAGAACGTACTTAAACTCCATGTTTTAATACCTGTAATTAGTTGGAACAGATGCATTAATGAATATGTATACATACATTCATACATAGATTTAGGCTTACACCAGTTGCTCACTCACAGATTCTTGGTTCTTACAATTTTAATAGTATATATACTGTCTCTTATACACATCTAGATGTGTATAAGAGACAGATAATGTCTTCAGTTATTGTCAAGGTCAAGTTAAAAAAATCAAACACTCAACCGGCTTACGGCCTTTTCATAAATCGTTGTTACTCTTGGTCTACAATGGTTCCATTAAGGTAAAATATCTACTTTATTATTTTATTTGTAACGCCCCCATCTCTTAATTCTTTGCAGCTCCAACTAATGGGATACAGTGTATGGCGAAGTCTTATTACTGAAGAATTATTCTTTCGAAACAAACTAGCGTACAGTTTATGTAGTCACCAGGAACTATATTTCCTTAACTTTTGCGCAGGCCTACGACAGCACGTCAACTATAATTAATAATGTAGCGGATATTTCGTGGGCGTTGCTGCTATAATAGCTATGACGTCCTTGAGTTACGAAGCCCAATTGCTGTCTGTCAGCGAACGGTAGTAGAAAAGCAGATTAATTTCAATAGTATGGTATGATGATCAGAACTTATAATATAAGCCTACTGTACATGAAGAAATGTAGTGTACATCGAACGAGTAATAAGACAGTGTTGATAAAAATCATCATTATCACCACCACCATTGTCACATGTGACCGGATTATGTTATTTCTTATTACTCAATATAGGCCTACTACTTGTTCTATAGAAGTAGTACTTAAAAACATATTTTTCTGTTTAGTCTTTCTGGCCAATAAGGTCTGTTGGATGAAACAGTCCTTTTTAGCGACTACTCGCATTCCATAAGATGGAGAAATATTTTCATTTTCTTCATGCATAATTATGGTCAGTGTGAGTAATGGTCGTCAGTATAGTAGGCTGTAGTAATGACATTATTATAGTCGACCATCCCAATATAAACCCAATAGAAATCATCTAATTCGACCACCCAACGGGATAACCACGATATTCAACACATACTTGCCAAATCGATAGCAAATTGAGTCACGTTCTCCACGGTATTTATTTTTTCCCTCCATGGTATGACCAGGGAGTTGTTATTTAGAATGACCAACTATATTTATATTAGTGCCAGGCGAAACATCACATGCTATGAGATATGAAATTGAAAGTCAATATTATATTAATGGATGTAGGGATAAACACCAAAAATTAAGCCGAATGCATTAAGGTCAATGTTAATCAAATCAATTGAACACGGACTAAACTCACCTTTATGTACAATGAACACGGTCTGATCTGAGACAAATATAAGCTTGGTATCAAATTATATTATTATTCAGGTACAATCCCCTGCAAGGTTATCGGCTTGGTATGGAACGACATTGGTGTCTTTCGTGTCAGTCTGTGGTGATCTCACAGTGTTGCACAATCGACATGCGATTTGTCATGTGCGATGTTTTGATATGCAGTAGGTTTAATGTTTTAGCCTAATGGCGATCATTACTCTATTGAATGATCATGATTTGAACCCGATTGGAATTGGATAAAACAGATTTATATGGCGCATGCTTAAAAACTTGACTAATGCGATACGCAGCCATTGGGGCGGATAAGGATAAGTATATTCTGAAAAGCATGTTAGGGCATTATTCAGTAATATAGGCATATATATTAACAAGAGTCCCTGTCCCGGATGGTATCAAATTCCGAACACTAAAATTACTATGCAATTTAGTGCTGTTAAAGTGCTAATAGCAAAAAGGGCAGACAAAGCAGCTGGAGCAATAATACCGTACTGCAATATGCTCCATCTGAGCTGTTTTAATGCTTTGTTGCGCTATTTTGTACCGTACTAAAGCTATATCAGGCTGGTGTATGGCAATATAGCTATTTCAGTGCTTTCTGTAGCTATATTTTGCTAGCTTATGGTGCAGCTTCTACAGCCAGAGTTGAGCTGGGGGAAGGGTTTGAGAGGGCGTTCCCCCTCAAAAAGGAGATTTTTTAAGAATAGAAACCTCTGGATGGTCAGAAATGACTCTCTGATTGTGACAGACATGTGTTGGCTTGGCGTTGGCCTATTTTTATATATTTTTTAGTCCGACTGCCCGACAAGCTCTGTCCGATGGGGGGGGGGGCTTGACCTGTCCGGTTGGGGCTTGGCCCTGCTGCCCCCTGGCGCCGCCCTGTTAGTAAGTAGGACTTAATAGGGTATATAGTATTGTAAAGACGGTTTTACTTTTTAAATCATTTTTTTGTGTCGTTTACATCCTAATTAATCATATTTTTGAACTTGTATTTTTAAATTGTGGAAACACCACAGTGCCGCAATAAATTTGAATTTATTCTTGATAATATTATTATTCTTTTATAGCCATACTGAACAAACAATTACACAGTTACTGGAGCAGATTGAAATCGCTATGTTAAAAGCTAGAACAACGTCCATCCATTAAGAAAAACGAAAATGAATTCATAGCAAAAAATAATAGTATTATATTGTACAAAATTCCATATAAATATCCTTTGAATAATAAAGACTAAATAAAAATAATACCAACATTTCATGTACAAATGGATTTATTATCAAAGTAAACAAATGTAAAATACAATTTTTTAAAAAACCCGATGGACAATACTATAAAAATCATATTGTTATAGTTGAAAAAAATCAAACTAAAATATTTTTAAAAACCATGTGATGTCTAAAATGTTAATATTTTTAAATCATAACATAAAAATGATTGGTAAAAAGAAAAAAGATTAGACCTACTAAAGATAAAATAAGTGATTTCAAATTTCGCTTGTTGTTAGTTCTTCGTTTAGGAAAGAAAGTTGAAATTATCAAATAATCATCCTTTTATATAGGCCTAATCATGATATAACTGTATATCAAATTTATTCTTACCGTGCTTATTCTTGTCACTCTTGTTTCCTTCTGACTTTCCTATATTAACCTTATTTGTATTTCTATTTATTATTCTTATTCCTAGTCCTATATTTTATTTCTATTCTTATAATTATCATTATATTTCTTGATCTTAATCCTATTTCTAGTATTTTAGTTATTCCTAACTCATTCTTATCTTATTCTCATTATGTTAATCATCTATTATTGTCATTTCCATTACTCTTATTCATACTTTTATTCCTATTGTTATTTTTATTAGTAGTAATATTAGTATTATTATTCTCCGATAATGGAAACGAAAATAAATCAAGCGGTCAATATGATCGATATTGGAGGCATATTTTAATCATTCGAAGATAGGATTAACTTATCCTCCAAGAGAAAGCTGGTAAGGTGGTTAAATATCTCCGCCAAGGAGGTTATGTATTCATCGATTGTCTGTCTATCTGTTGCAGTGTTACGCCAAAAAAAAATGATAAAAGTATCTTTATAAAATTAAAGTGCAATGGTACATTGATCTGTGGAGAATCACGCGAATCACAGAAAAACTTTTTTTTTTTTTTTTTTTAAACTTACCCTTCGAATAAACGAAAAGTAATGAAATCGCTCATAAATGTTTTCGGTATTCAGGAAAAGGGTGAATGTATGCACTCTGTGGAGTAAGTGGGCTCTACTTGTTAGGCCTACTTTCAATCATCTAAACTCTCTAACAAATGTGTTCCATTCACCTACATTTGTACGAAATCTCAATTATGTTAATCTCAAATAGCCTCTAAAGCGCTACCGTTGCTTTACAACAAATGAGGGCGCTCTTGCCAAATTTTATCTAAAAAATAATATGTAATTAGGTCATTACATTAGGTTAAAAAAAACACCCATATTATATATATATACAAGTAAACCACATTTTAGACACTTTCTATAATAGAATTTGTTTCTTTGTCGAAACCGTAATTAACTTTGCTGCCGCCTTGTTCCTCCAGTTGTTTGCGATCCGAATTGATTTCTTCGGTGGGCGTTAGTGCGTTCTTATCCTTGTCTACATCTTCTAACGGTATTTTGACACCATTATCATCTGGTTCTGATACATCAAGCCTATGTTCGGCGGGAAGGGTGTCTACTGTCGAAATTGATGGATGCGATTCAAAATCTTTTGACAGTGAATTAAGTCCGTCAATCTTTCCACCGATTGCTTCCTCAAGTATGTGATTCGGAATTGTGTTACGCCTAACCTTTGACGTTGATGGCGCCTTTTCTGAATCATCTATCGATTGATCTCTTGAGGTGCATACCGTAAATATACTTTTCATCGAGAAATGTAGGCCTACTCCTAAGAAAAAGACATATCAAACTAAAATTAGTTTTATATGGGCTGTAACGAAAATGCCATTGCTAAATAGAACAACACCATTATCGACGTAGTTACAATTACGTTTGTAATATAAAAGATATACTTATGGTAGCAAAACGTCACTAACGTAACCGTTACGTTTCGTTTCAAATTCAATTAGCGTTATAGGCCTAGGCCCTACGAACTGTCTCGCCTACTATGCCCTGTAAAGCTACATTTACACTTGACACGGTAACAACACGACACGAATAATCAGTGTTAAGAATATAAACGACGCGATAACATGTCGTTTTAGTGTCGTTTTATCGTGTCTAGTGTAAATGTAACTTTACCCGTAGGGCCCCGCCTTTACCACATATAGGCATGTACCCCTGCAGTTATTACTAATGGTGAAAAATATACGTACTCGTTTCTGAATTTTCATCCATGTCCCAACCATGGCCATACGCTGTCAGAGGATACGCAGGTTCGCCATGTTTCGCAATATCCAAACCTATTTAAAAAAAAAAGAAGTAAAAACCGTTAGTTTGGAGCAATTTAATACTCACAACATAAGTTATATATTAAATTTATACTTTTTATACAGTAAAATTAATGAAATTAAAACTTACATGCTATAGGCCCAATAAAGCAGTTATTATAAATGTAATAATATAAATAAATTGACCTACGTAGGCTATAAAATTACTTGTTCTTGATAATGTTTTAATTGCTTAAATTCACCTTAATTTATAAGCATATTGATTCAGATATTAATCAAAGTATTCATAGTTTAAGGGATACCAAGATTTCTATCCAATCAAACATATTATAGGCCTATGTTGAAAGTAGTACGGAGCACCGACCTTTCTCTTCAATTGTGGGATTAACTCGGAGAATGTTAAATGCCTTCATTGACCCAAACATGATAAAAGACGTGGCGGCTGACCAGGCAAAAATGGCAATTGCTCCAGTAAAATTCCACAACAGACTCTATTGGCAAAAAGAATATACATTACTGGCATTATCTAACTAAGTAGTGAGAATATTATACTCACGAAAAGGCCCTACATTATTAGGCCACTAACTTAGAGAGCACATAATTATTGTAGTGATACAGCCAATCACAGGCTTTGGGTAAACACGCTTTTAACTGGGGATCTGACCATCTTTCCAGTTCAATGACAAGAAGACAAAACAAATTTTAAAAAAACAATAAAATGTACCCTGCTATGAAAAAAAAAGATATTTCCCCATCTATCAAGATTTTCCAACTTAACCTCACCTCCCCGAAGAAACTATCTTAAACAAGCAATTAAAATATTGAACATTAAAACTTAGCATGATTATTATTAATTAAACATAGAAAGTACATATACATGACATGCCTATAAATATTATATCGATCAGACTCACTAGAAAGGCATCCGAATTCCAAGCATAAACAATCCCAGTGTCCCTTGCGAGGATAGTGACTGCAATTGTCCCCCAAAAGCCTCCGCCTAAATGAACTGATGCAAAAAAAAAAAAAAAGAGATTATAGTCAAGACTCACTTCGGTAGAGTCTGATATCAATAAAATTGCTACACACTAGCGCTGACAACTTTTGGTGACGACGCTGATTGGCTAGTTTCATTTCTTGTGCCATCAAGCCAATAAATAAATAAATATAGTATCTTAAAGTAAATTATTCTTGTATTTATTATTGGTGTGCACATGTTTGTGTACGGTATGTATTTGCACAGAGCCGATCAAAATTTCTACAAATTGATAAAGTTTTATTGTATACTAGTTTCGTACCTGTCCTTTGGACGTGTGATTCATAAATTGATAAAGTTATATTGTATACTGTGCGGTATATCAGTGTGGCCGATCAGTTTAGCGATTACAGCGAAAAGCAGTGTAGCGACTGGGTAGTATTTTATGGCAAACAATGTATTGCCCCTATCGGGCCTTTTTGGAAGCTAGTTTTTAATAGAAAAAACTAATTTATTTCATTTTAAAATATATTTTTCATATTAAATTACGCTGTAGACTAACCCCTATTGGGAACTATAGTTTAAGATAACAGAATATAACTCTTCAAACGTATAGGCCTATAGCAATTGTTGTGGCACCCCAGAATCTTGACTCTAGCGTGGGGAACGGAGATTTTTCAGACAGGTTGGTTCCTCTCCACTTGTTCAGCCACTGCAACACTTACTTATGAAACATTTAGTTTAATAACTACTCCTGTAGGAACAGTATTGTATAGTAAATTTACCAGCAACGGCATCCAGAGGGTCATCAATGCGTAGTCTTAAAACAAGTTTACTGACGAGAATTACGACAAAACCAGATACTAATCCGATTACAAATGCACCCCAGCGGTGAACAGCGTCACATCCTGCACAAATTGCAACCTGTGAAAAGATGTTATTTTCAATACTTATTAATACTGCTATCATAATAATCATATATAATCATCATAATCATCACCGCCGCCACTATCGTTATCGTCGATGACGGTGAAGGCGACGAAACTCATTTTCAAAGTGATGTAAACATTGGGTCTTTTATATACAAGACCATAAAGAAAAGCTGGATTGAATAGAATCAGTGACACAGATAATAACAACAACAACAACAACAGCAACAGCAGCAGCAGCAGCAGCAGCAACAGCAACAACAACAGCAGCAACAACAATTATTATTATTATTATTACTTATTATTATTTATATCACTTATTTTAGCGCCTTTCCTTTGCAGATACAAAGCGCCTCTTTTCCCTGGTCATTGGGTCCACGTGCTTTAAGTGTTGCTGCTGGTAAACAGCGCAGGAGCAGGCAACCCCACCAGTTACCACTTATACTCCTAGGTTGAGAGAGGCAATGCAGATAAAGTGCCTTGGTCAAATTAATTGCACTGTTGCTATCTTCACCAGGGTTGGGTGATTGACTGGAAATTCCAAGGCAAATTTTGTGTCAAGAATGTTTCAGTTCTACGTATTTATGTGATACTTTGGGATGAAAACCCAACATCCCCAGCTCTTTCCGAGATAGGCGGTGATGCAATGCTGTCTGAAATAGGACTAAAGGTTGTAGACAGATCTATTGAATAATCGCTAGTATAAAGAAAAGATGGGCTTTATACTGCTATTTTAAAACAGTACGGTATAATAATTTGATGTCGTGATTACCATTCCTGTAAGACCTCCATTTATAGCTGTAAGTAAACTCCACAAGCTTCCCTTGTAATACACGAGGTTGATGAAGAGGGCGCATAACGCAGATACACCTCCGGAAAGCACGGTGTTGACGATTGATTCGGCGACGATAACGCCGTCCCCAGGGTTGGAGATGCTTCCTAGCGAGCCGCCATTGAATCCGAGAAATCCAAGAAAGAGAATGAATCCACCCAATGCAGCTAGCTAACAAAACAAAAATGATAAAAACAAACATCGATAATCAGAATATAAAGGTATACCCCTTACAATGATGATTTTTTTCTTTTCCAATCATGCATAATTATGTTTAGGATAGAACATAGGCCTATTTTTTCATTTTATTAATTTTGGCAATATAAAAGTCCTAATAATCATAATTATTAACGAATCATAACTTAAAAATAAAAACAAAATTAGGACGCAATGCCGGGCCCAGCCTAATACCGCGGTGTGTCTTCCCCCTATAAACCAAGAACGAACCTATTTTTTTAACCCAAGAGATAAGTTCCAATTACTAATCGAAATATAGAAAATATTAGTAGTACTTCAAATTTAAACTAAAATCCTCTTCCCGGTTACAATACCTGGGTAGGCGGGCATACTATCTGCCTTAGGGACCTTGGAAGACCCCACCCGAGCAAGAGAATACAAGCACTATTTTTTCCTGATGTTTTGTATCATCATTTCGTTATTATTTCATGAGTACATTCTGTATTGCTTATACATTCAACAGTCTTCGACATCCAAAGAGAGTAAACAACAAACAGTTTCAGTGCCTTATTTAGAGATACCGACATGACTCTGGAAGAACTTCATAGAGATTTATGAAACAAAGACCAGTGACAACGAATCTTGGTGGCTGTCAAATTAATATGATGGTGACGAGACAACGAATGCACTCAAATATTATTGACTTCTTTAATTGACTGATAAAAATAGATATCTTCTTGTAAGGAGAAATGATCATCAGGTCAACATTTTGAGTTAAAGACATCGCTTCGATCATCAAGTAGAAGCCTAAGTAAAGTGCTTGTTGAAAGAGGATGGACTAAGGTTCAGTGGTGGTGGTGGCAGGGGGGGAGACAGGGGGCATCAGTTGAATATGTTATACCGTAGTGCATAAGCCACAAGGGCATCAGAGACGAGGGCTACCCCAGTTTCTAAATTCACTTGGCTAGATGATATACTTACAGTAATAACAAATTTATGTCTGTCATTATCTAGGTCTAATTAACAATTCAGAAAGTAAACGTACCGGTACAGTATGTCCACGGATCGTTACTGGATTTCCGTCAGCGTCAAAACGACCGATGCGTGGACCGAGCATTATCGCACCAAGCAGTGCTACTGTTCCGCCTAAGATATGTACAACTGAACTTCCGGCGAAATCCTAAAAGACATGTGAAAATTAGGTAGGCAAGATTTGGGAAATATTATAGTAAATTAATTTTTAGTGGTGAATAATTACGAAAGACCTTAGTTTAAACCTGGTTTCCATAAAATCGCTACAGTATTTTCACTGTACATTTTACACTGCCCAACGCAGTCGGAAAGCCTTCCCGATTCGACTGACCAATCGTGTTGCCGAGAACTACAGTGCGATATTATGTAGCGATTTTTGCGTTGTGAGAGTAACTGGCAAGTACCGGTACATAATAATTGATATTGTACATCTGTTTCAAACGAAACATTCTACTGTACTTACAATAAAACTGATATGTTTATGATTCGGCATTTCTCTCAGCCAGCCATCACTAGACCACGCCCAATGGGTAACAATTGGATAAATGAAACCTACAAAAGCAAAAATCTAGAATACAATGTTTGGATGAAATGGAAAATTCAGACTTTTTTAATTATAAACACAAAAATTGACTTCTTTTAGTACTCACTTTTACACACACACACACAAATTAAGCTTTAAATTTAATGTTTTCATTAAATAAAAACACCAATGAATTACCAGTTAAGAACACGCTATACACAAGGTAGGCTACGAACTCGGTCCGCTCTGCCATCGATCCTGAGACGATAGTAGCAGCTGTAGCAGCGAAGACAAATTGGAAGAACCAATCGTCAACTTCTTCACTCGGCATGTTCGTATTGAAGAACCAATCCGTACCGATAAACCCGTTACCAGGACCAAAGGCGAATGCGTAGCCAACAGCCCAGTAAAATACACTTCCAATACCTAAACAAATCGATATACTTATTAGAGTGGTAAAGGTGCGGTGTGTTTTATGAGTGTCAGAGACTTAAAGGTTATTGGGATTGTGTAGCTAACATAATTTACAAACTGGAAAAACAGAATGTAAAAATGCTTTCGTATATTGATATTATATTTGGAGTTAAGAATATGAAAAGCCATGAATTAATTACATTAGCTTGTTATTTAATTTAAAAATCATGGTTAAAAGCAGAAGGTAAAATAAAAAAATGATAATTTAAACAGAATGTTTATTGCTGAGCCAAAATTAAGGTGCAAACTATAGTCTACATTAATGGAAATGTAATGATGTGAATTGAAAAAAACTAAAAATTGTGAAAATGACAATAAATTATTTGTAAAAAATTAAGATGGAAATGAAAATGTGTAGGAGAACTGAGATTAATTTGTTATGTCATATATTGATATTTAAGCAAATGTTTATGATTTATTTTACAAATCATGGTTAAAAGCAGAAGGTAAAGTAAAAAAACGTTAAATCAAACAGGATGTTCATTGTTGAACTAAAATTAAGGTGCAAACTACAGTCTGAACTATAGGAAATGTAATGATGAGAATTGAAAAAAAAAAAACTAAAAAGTGTTAAAGGAAAATAAATTATTTGTAAAAAAATAAGATGAAAATAAAAATATGTAGGAAAACTGAGATTAATTTATTATGTTCTTATATTGATTTTATGTAAATTTTTATGATTTATATAATAATGATGCAATAATGAGAATAAATGTGGATTTGCCAGAAGGAGAAAAAAAAAGGTGCGGTGTGGGTCCCGTGTACAAGGACGCAGTATACACTAAGTATTCACTTTGGAAAAAAGAAGTGATTGTTTCTCGCGTGTTCTGTCCAATTCACCACAAGAAGAATTCACCGGAAACAAGTCTTCTGATTTTGTGGGTAACCCTTGCTTGAAACCAATACATACTTCTATTGAAAGCAACTTAGTCGGCTAAACTAGTGGTAACCACTTTGTGCTGAACCGGGAGCTGCAATGCAAGTTACGATAGCGCACCGTCTGCACGTTAAACAACGCAGTATTATAT